TTTGCTACCGTGTGCGCCTCGCCTCCGATCGGTAGATACTGGGGCTTAATAATCAATTCCTCGGGTTCCTTGGGGATTAGGGTTTCGCTTGTGATTTAGGTTGGAATTAATGCGATGCTGGGGCTTAATTAGTTCCTCGGGTTCAATTCGGAGATGTCAATTTTGCTTGTGATTTAGGTTGGATGTGATGCTTGAGATTCTCTCGTTGCAGCCAACTTGGGGATTTCTAAACCCCTTTCTTAAGGATCAGTGCCGATTTCTTCCTGATTTGGGAATTGGGACTAGTACAATCTTGCCATGATTGATGATGATTCATGTTCCTAACTAATTAGAAGCGCCTCCTCTTTTTGTTGTGTGGAATGAAGAGATTGCAGAGGAGCCAGATGAGCACGGGTTCCTTGGACGTGTCAATTTTGTTTGTGATTGATTCCAATCTGTTAGTAGGTTGGAATGAGATGCTTGGGCTTCTCTCTTTGCACCAACTTGGGGATTTCTGAACCCCTTTCTTAAGGATCAGTGATGATTCCTTCATGGTTTGGGAATTGGGACTAGTACAATCTTGCCATGGTTTGTGGTGATTCATGTTCTTAACTAACAGTGCCTCCTCTTTTTGTTATGTGGAATGAAGAGGTTGCAAAGGAGCTGGACAAGCACGGGCATGGGATCCCCGCGACAGTGGCCAACACGACCTTCCATGGCGTGAACGCGCTGCACGCTGCCAGTGGCCTTGGCAGGCTGCCGGTCTACCAGTATCTCATCGAGGAGGTCAATATGGTGGAGATCGACAAGCCTGATGCCCAGGGTAATTCGTTCGCCCATTTCCGGTCCTAATGTATATATAGTTTTTATGGCTTGATCATAAACTTCACCTGGATCATAATGCTAGGCCATACACCGGTGGAGCATGCCCTCACCGAAGGCCACCTTCCTGCCGTCAGGTACCTTCTTGATCGTGGAGCTGATCTGCATCAGCGCCATAAAGATGGAACCATGTCTACTCTTCTTCATTCAGCTGCAGCTCTTGGTATCAAGCGGATCTTAATTTCGTTTTCAATTTCCTTTACTGTATGCTCATAGTCTTGACTACTCCCCTGCTCCCTTGTTTCGTGCTGGACGTTTTTCTCTATGAGAATTGTTTTGTGCTGGGCCTTGTTTTGCCAAGATCTCAGCTAACCTATTATAAGCAATTTTCCTATTGCCATAAATTAAAACAAACCTCATCTTATTTGCTTCTAATGCCTGTCAGCGTCTGAACAGGGGTCAATCATTGTAAGTTTAAAGATAGTCGTCACATTAATTTGAATTCCCTGCTCGATGATATGTAAAATATCCATGTGTCATGTATTGCTACAAATCTTGTTAGGCATTATATTTATCCTTATAGTCTGGATCTTCTCTTAGGATATATGTTTCAGATTTTATTTTTGTCTTAGCCATCTAATCTAGTTTCCCAAGATATGTTTGCTTACTTCATATGGTATATATGCAAGTTTATCTGGGTATCTCTTTCATACATTATTTTGTGTATGATTACCATCTTAATTCTTATGGTAGCTGTTTATGGTAATTTGTTCTGTATGTCTGTTCAGGGAAATGTGAACGAACAATTGCTTTCCATCAATAGTTATTGAAACGATTTTGCCCAAAACTGTTCTGTTCATAAACTGTTATCACCTTAAATTAGTTTTCTTCTTTTCTTCAGGGCACTCTGAAATAGTAAAGTTTCTTCTTTCTAGAGAGGCTGATATTGATGCTCTATCATTTTTTGGGACACCACTCTCTGTTGCTGCTCTTAGAGGACATGCTAGCACGGTCAAGATCCTTTTGCAGCACAATGCAGATGTAATATTCAAAATCTTTGTTGATCTGTTGGCTTTTTACTCCAATTCTTTCGCTTGCTGCCTTTTTGTTACGTTCTCCAATTGAACCATGCAAGTGTGACTTAGTTATCCGTTTGGTTTGCAACCGCACTTCTGGCAAGATTCCATTCCTACTACTTGGTTGCCAACTTGCCATAAATCACTCATTTTCTATCATTAATTAGTCATGCTCGGCTAAAAGTGTGTCAAATATTGCCAACCTTTGTAACCAAACCAAACAGGCCCTGCTTGTAGCTGTTAATGTGTGAATTAGACCAGGCATGCATGATGGGACCAGTGACCCACACAAAAACTCTGAAAGTTCAGTGGGAGCAAAGGGAGATATAACTGTATAAGGCTATACCTTTAGAAAAGAAGTACCCCAACGATCCATATTAATTGTCGCTGATTTAGTAAAATCAGCGATAATTAATATGGATCGGAGGGAGTATCAGATAAGCTATTTTTTCCTTACAAGCTCCATCTTCACATTTTGGCATTAAAATAAGTTGTTTATTTATGTTTTCCAGCCTAACAAGGGTACTCGTCGGTATGGACCTTTAGGGATGGCAATAGGTATATCATCTGTGTCCTGTGTGAAGCTATTGATTCAGGTATAGTATCCTATGCTTATACTGTAGTAGGAATGTACACATAGTATCCTCTGCTTATTTGTTTCTATAGACTGACGTTTGATTCAATCATGTCTGTATCAACGACTTGAAAACCATATAATTAGCTTTTCTTTTATTCGTGCATCTCATAGGGTGGAGCTAATGTGAGCGGCGGTAGTCCTTGTGATATTCCTTTGGTTGCGGCTGCAGAAAAGGGCTTAACTGAAGTTATTAAGTGCCTGTTGGAAGCTGGTGCAAATCCAAATGTCCCTGACACGGTGAGAATGCACTCTTTGTCACATTTCTGTGTCTTGCTTGGCTTTGTAGTTTCAGTAGACTCGTCTATACTTACATGCATTAAATGTGCGAGTTATGCAGCAAGTACATCTACATGATGCTATCTGTGTAATGCAAAAATA